CTGCCTCTGTTGTGTAAGTGCATTAACTTCTTGGCTAAGGTACGTGTGAATGTATTTTTTCAAAAATCCTCAACAACATTGAGCAAAAGTGAACCAGGCACTGAAGATCAACCTTACAAAATCATATATATGTGCAAAATTAGCAACAAGCTGAACTGATATTTAAGCAGTGAAGTGCTATCAGTAGATAGGAGAAAAAGTTGCAAATGTGGAATGCAGTGTAACTGCCAGTTGTACTTGTGGCAGTGGGATTAGTTGGTATAAGTAAATTTTAAAAATAAATATCCCCCCCATATTTAAAATAAATAAGGAGAAGGAAGAAATTCCATTCCAGCCAGCATTGCTGGGACCTCACTAGTTGGCACTATTGTTCAAAAAAGATTTGTTGTACTGGAAAAGATCCACTGGGGGGGGGGGAGGGAAAGAGGCTGAGGAAAAAAATCCAAAACAAGCAAACAAAAAAGCCCACCACACTATATTCATAGCAGCAATTCATCTGTTTGCTTAACATGCTTGTCTTGTGGTTGTACATGGAACAAGTAGTTAAGTGGTCTCCTGCAAGGCAGTGTTTCTCTTCCTCAGTTTTGTGGACCAGATTTTCTAGCAGTCAACCTATAACTCCAGTATTAATGCTTGCCTGCTAGCCAGCCCATATGGTTCTGTTTCTCCCTCTAGACTAGTACGATTTGGCAAATACCAAAGCATTCAGACCCTGATTTCTTGGGCATCTGTTCTAGCCCAAAAGCACAAATTCTGTCAACTAGAGTTGTTTTATAGTTTGAGGCTGACTTATCCTAGCTAGACAGCTGCTGGAGGAATACGGCACTAAATCACCAAGTTGGGCACCAGCTGCCCAGTTTGACAGAAGAGCATTTGTAATTCTGTTGCATTGTTCTCTCTGCCTGTTCCTTGGCATGTCTTTGAAGAGAAAAAGGTGAGGTTCAGAGAAGCCAGTCTGCCCATCCAGATATGCTGGATTTTAAATCTGAAACCTGCCTGACAGTTAAGTTGGGAAGATAAGCAGAGCTCTCCTCCAAGTGTCTGCAAAACCCTCCTTATAAGGGAGTGGGATAAGGGATACAAAAAAGGGCTTGAGATGCATCTCTCCTTTGGAGCAGGCTGCTGTGCAGATGGAGGGAGAGGCTGGAACACAGCTTATGCAATCCTAACACATCCTGTCTTTCAAAAAGTTTGGGCTCTACATAAAGAAGGGGTTTGCTGAGAGGATGAAGGTTGGGGGAGCTTTACACCATTGGGAATCTTCTAATTGTGTCTAAGAGACTACATGCAGAAGAACATACATCCTGAAGCTGCTGTTGATCTTGTTAATTATGTTTCTATTCCTGTTGTTAAGCTTCTTTAGCCCCCTGAATGAAACACATCTAGGCCATTCTTTATGACCTACACCTTTTGTGTCATAAAGTTTTCCTTTATAATACTTCAGTCACGTTGCACCTGGTTTGCTAGGCACAGGTGAGAGTAACTGTCCTGTATGGAGCCTGTAGCACTGTGTTCAGTTCTGGGCTCTCCAGTACAGGAGGGGAGTGGAACAGACTGGGGACAGCTGGGCAAAGTGCCTCCTGCACAATGGAGGGACTGGAGAGCCTCTCTTATGAGGGAAGTCAGAGCAGGGATTATTTCAGCTAGCCAAGAGGATGCCTGGGGGAATCTTGTCCATGTGTGCTAATACTTGAGGAGAGGATGGGAAGAAAGTAGAACCAGACTTTCCCCTGTGATGCTCGGTGGTGACAGGACAAGAAGCACTGAGCTTTATATAGTTGTGTGAATGCTTTTACTCTTACATGTATTGAAAGACAAAGTCTTCCTAATGACTTCATCTTTTAGAATAAATTTATTGGTATAAGCTATGCCCAAAGACATTTCTCATGCAGAATTTTTTATTTTACTGCAGGTGTTTTTGGAGGATATTTATTTAGTATTGGCTTGAGTGAATTTGTACTGCTTCATTTTGCATTGCAGAGATGAAAGAGCACCTGACATTAACTAAAAGCTGGCAGAATGGGAGAAAATACAGTGGGAAAGGTCTCAAGGGTTGAGATAAGGACAGGGACATGGCTCACCAATAATCGTCATGGGCAAAACAGAGTGAGCATAAAGAGATTCATGTAATTCATTGGCAACTACTACTGAGATAATGAGAGGCCATGAGATAATAGAAGCAAACTGAAAACACCTTCACCCTCTCCCATCTTCCCCTACCTCCCACTGAGCAGTGAAGGGGAACAGGGGCAGCAGCCAGTTTATAACACTTCTCTGCTGCTCCTTCCCTCTCATTTTCCTCCCTGCTCCATCGGTCCTTCCCACGGGATGCTGCCTTTCCCCAACAGATTCTGTGTGGCCCATAGGCCACAGCTCTTCAAGCCCTGGTCTCTAACATGGCTCTGTACCATGGATCCCAATCTTCAGGAACAGTGTGGTCCAGCATGGATCCCCACAGGCAGCAGCTCCTCCAGACCTGGTGCTCCAACGTGGGCTCCTCTCCATGGCCTGCAGCTGCAGCCCAGGACCTGCTCTTGTGCAGAGGCTTTCTGTGGTCAGTTCTCCTTCAGAGCTCGTCCTCTGCTGCATGTGGAGATCAGCTCTGTGTGGTGTCCATAAGCTTCAAGGCAACAGCCTGCTAGTGTGTGTATCCTGGCAGTTTGCATCACCAGGGCACTATAGCATCAATTGTAAATAAGTTCCCATCTCTGTCTTTTCTTCAGCGCGATGCATTCTTCCCTGCAGTCTGTGCAGTGCTGTCTTAAATGCAGTTGCTTTTGCTCATAGCAGTTGTTTTCAGAGGGGCTGAGTGCAGGGCCATGGAGAGGCTCATCAGTGCTGCTCTGGTCTCTGAAACAGAGTTCCCTGCATATTACCAGGAGCTGTTCTACAACTCTTCTGTGTAACCCTTCTATCTGAACAAGAGGCAGTAGCTTTGATTTTGGTGGAAATTCTTTTATTCCATTCTCTATAGTTGATTTCTGGGCCAGGTCAACCCACAACTCCTCTGATCTACTTGGACAGTCTGCTGGCACTCTTGGCTCTGTTTCGTTGTGCCAGTGAAGCTGCACTGCTATTTATTTTCTGTGAATATGCAAAAGCAATCCAGAAGTTAGTCTTTTGGGTGGTATTATTAAAGTTGAGTGTGCATTGAATACATTCATGTTGTTTTAGCATTAAATAGAATAGATACATTCCTGAATGAAATTCTTCTTCATAACATAAATCAAGTGGCCAGTACTGTGGAGGCAGCTCTACACTTGGTGAGATGTTACATTAAATACATTAGGAAGGCTGCTTTAAAGCCTCTGCTTACTTCCTTCTAATCAGTGAGCCATTACAAGCTTTTGTCTGTTGTTTTCAGCAGAGTTCTCATTACACAAGTAGCTTCCCTGTACCTTAACACACCCAGTGGTGACCTTGGGGACAATTAGACTTTCTCTCCAAGATCAGTAGCGAATTAATTTGATATAAATGCACAGGCAGCATTAGTGTTGCAACTGTGTGAGCTCCCTCAAGGAGCTGTGAAACTTCTCTATTCTCATCAATTCCTTGAAACTTAGTTTCCTAAGAGTTAGTGCTTATGCTGGAGAGATGGGTCAGTGGGAAGACCTGAAATGCCTGCAAGAGATCAGTAGTTTGGGTTTGGGCTGAATTCATTTGTTAGCAGTTTGTTAGCAGTTTGTTAGGGAATCATGGCTTTAACTCCAGAGTTTAGTACATTAAGCTTAAACATACACCAATATCTGAAGGAACAGGGCATCATCTGCCTGTTAAAACGTTTTACAATGTCAACAATCTCTTCTTATTCTCATCTGTGGGAAGCAAAACACTAGTAAATGCTACCAGGTTTTCCTCTGCATCCTCAGTGCAGAGTTACCTGTCTTGACAACAAAGGGAACACATCCAGGAATGGGAAAGTAATGATGCAGGCATCCACAAGAATTCCTAGAAGCAAGTAGTGCAGAATTTGTAGTCATCGCAAGGGCAGGGAGGCTGGTTGCAGACTCTGGGCTTATGAATATACACAATGGCCTGTTTATGGTAAATGGCAGCCTTTCCAACCTGTTTGTATTTAAATAGCACTGTAAAACCTTACATTGCTCCTCTGATAAGATGTAACTGTTTCTGTGACTAGGGCAGAGAGCCAAAGCCACTTTGTTTTTATCAGATATGCTTCCTGTTCAGGGACACGCTGAGTGAAAGAACACAAAGCCTTTCCCTGCCAGGTCACTATTACTTATGAATTCAGATTGTCATCTGAAGTGCTGTCTGCTTCTATAAGAACAGAAGAAACAGAAACAGAAGAAAGTTAGAGCTGTTGGCACAGGGGTTTAATGGCAAACCATTTCCAGTTAGAAATTGATGTTACTGAGGGATGTGTCAGAACAGTAGTGCGCACAGTGCCTATCAGGGCAGCTCCTGGGAGGTGGCTCCTGGGGCTGGTTCCCATATTGGTCATGGTACTTGCTCTGTCCAAGTGTGAGAGCAGTATCACCAATGGATTGCATGAAAGCTAAACTAACACTACATTTAACTAATGTATGTCTTTCTCAGAACTCCAAAGGAGGCTGTGGGATTCCTGTTGTTTTTCAATCAGTTACCCACATTGAGTTATGCTGGATACTGCATCAAAGCTTTTCAAAAAGATGGAAATTTGGCAAGTTTAGCATTGTATGCTTAAAAAGAAACAATTAGCTGGATTTGTGTCTGATTGCTGAGACTGAATGTTAGGAAATGGTTCTTCTTGAAGAGAGTGTGTGGACATTGGAGCATGCTCCTTAGGGAAGTAGTCACTGCATGAAGCCTGATGGGGTTCAGGGAGTGTTCAGATGATGCTCTCAGAAAGATGGTTGGATTTTGGGTGGTTCTGTGTGAAGCCAGGAGTCGGTGATCCTTGTGGATCCCTTCCATCTCACATTACTCTATGATTCCATGATTCTGTACCATGTGAATTGAATTGTTTATTTAAGTTGGCTTTTTTTTCTACTTGCTTACAGGTTGCATGGCCGGTACCATGAAATGGCACCAAACGTTGTGCCCATGGACTATACAAAGGATCCTGATGTTAAACTACCTATGCAGCTTATAATAAACATGCCTGAGCTAAAGGTAAGGCTTCTAATTGCTTACAAACTGCAGCTTGTTAGCTCTGTAAATGGACTGCCAGAGGTTTTGCGATTAAATTTGGTGCCTTGAAACAGTGTGGCAACCAAGGCCTTTCCTTTGCTGTTACTGTTCTAGGGCGTAGCCAGGCACAGAAATGGGAAAATATTTAGGTGGATGTTTCTCTTGCATAGATAGTTGGAACAGAATGTAAAGGAAATGAGGAGGAAATGAACCTATGTTTTATACTCTTTCCACTTTGTATATAGTGTCCTTTAGAAGCCGGTGGGTTTGACTGGCTTGTTTTGCTAATGATTCCCTTACTGGCATTGCTTAGTTTAAGAATATAATGAGTATGTACTTCTTTGTTGTTTAAATACTTACAGAAATGGAACCTATGATGTGATACAGGCTTTTCCTAGAATTTATAAAATGTTTTTTTCATCAACTGGTTGAGAGCTGTGCAGCTGTTGAACTCCCAGAGCTATGTAGCTCCTAAGGCTGAACAGTCCAGCTCTGGGTTGGTTCCTTACCAGCTGTTTGCATCGTCTGTGTCCTTGACTGCCAGGGGTATCAGTGTAATTCTGTCCTCTGCAGCTTACAGAGCTGACCTTCCCAGCTCATCTTAATGAAATGAATGAGATTTAATAAATCATGTAGGTGCTGGAGTTTAAACAAAAATTATGCTCTTCTAGCATAAGCAGACTTAATTGAGCTCACAGGCTCTATGATGATGCATATTGTTAAATAGGTAATGGAGATAAAAGTTGGGAATTACAAGGCTTTCTCTAAGCCTTCTTTTTCCTCGTAGGATTCAGCTGAATAATAATAGCAGGTGAACGAAAAGAGAGCAATTATGTACTACTTTTCAGAAGGACAAGGAGGTATTTCATGAAGTTGTCAGGTAGAAGGCTGACACAGCACGTGAAAATATCGAGGAACTCATTATCACGAGACATTCTGGAGACAGCATGAATGTCATAAAAAATGATTTGAGTGCTTTTATAGAGCAGAATTCCACAGTTGCTGATAAGTTTTATGATTTGTGTGTGATCTCTAACTCTGGAAGTCTCCCAGATATCCGTTGTACTCGCCTTTATGAAAATGCTTTCCCTTATCTGCTATGGTTCCCAGTTAGAATTAGGCTGGTGATCTGGATGAACTGATAATTATGATAGTTGCTGTGTTCTACTTTTTTTTTCTTCCCCTTAGAGGCAATCCATAGACCAGATGAATTTATTTTTAAGGTCCCTATGAGATTTGTCTGAGATTATTTAATTAAAAGGACTTACTCGTAGCAATAAGCAAGAGCCAATTAGATGATGCTTACCAGCTAGGACAAAATGAAGATTATTTTTGTTGAAATAGGATTATTTACTGAAATGCTGACATGTTGAATGGGCAGACATATATGAAAGTGTAAATTAGTATACAGTATCACAAATAACTAATGGTCTTACCTGTGTGAATGTAAAGTAATCGGATTTTTCCAATTTATCCTGGCAGGATAAAATAGCCTGTGCTTCACAGCACTGTGGGAGTACCTTGATTGTATTAAGCCAACTAGCCAGCTATTTTTGCTTATACTTGAATTTGCATTTTTATCTTTGTAATTAAAATCCATCTTCCTTAAGAGGTTTTGATTCACTCACCCACTGTTGCAAGTAGTTTTATCTCTCTTTAGCAGGTCACGTCTTATTCACTGCTTTAGTGTCTTAGGTGTTTGTACTGGTGCTTCTGGTGTGGAAGATCACTGTTTCTGAAGTTTTATTTCATTACTGAGCCTGAATCTCTAGGACATTGGTAATGCAATATGAACTGCTCTGCCTCGGTTATGTAGCTCTTATGAAGCCCTTAACTGCCAGATGGCCAGTATTTGCTTTGTGAGAAATCCAGACAGGTTGATTTCAGCCTTCAGTTCAGAAAAGACAGTGAATAGTGATAATCACACATGTGGTTTTATTTGCTTTACTGATGCAGGATCAGACACTTAGGAAACCATCGATTCCATGAAAACATTAACTGCTATTTTTGCAGGACAGCAGAATGTTTAAACTGAGATAGAAAATGTAAGTTTCGTTTTGAACCATAATTTGATTTTCAGATACAAGAGCGTATCTTGCTGCCATAGCAAACATAGGTGGTAAAGGGAACAGATTAAAGAAGTGTATTTAAAGTGGATCAAAATTGATCTTCTTGCACCCCTTCAAGTCTGTGAAGCTTTCTGATCCAGCTTTAGAATACATCATGAGGGAAACTGAACTTGATTTTATGCCAGCAACAGGACAAAATTTGCTGTCAAATTTAATAATTCTCTCACAGATCTCAAGAGATGTGGAAGACTTCAGAAATATTGCTGATTAACCACTCATTTCAGGAACAGAGTTTGTAAGAGTTCATAGTGAGCTCGTTTCCAGTAAAATAACAGTCAAATGAAGATAATGGATCTTACTTCCCTCCCCTGCCCCACCGTGTCTTTCAAAATATTATCAGTACAGGATTTTAAAATGCCAGCAAGGTTATCAGCCATAAACCTGCACCAGCTGTGGTCACTATGGATTTTACTATTTCCTATACAGATGAGGAGAAAGAAGGCTTTCATGCAGAGTTCATTTTCCAAGCAATGTGGTTATTTACTGTAGTTAATAAGGAAAAAAAAAAAAAAGGTCCTTAACCTTTCCAACTTTTCCAGACTGCTAAACAAATTGTTAGTGTTGGTTCTTGAGTAACTTCTCATCAAGACAAAGACTAAAATGATGTTTGAATCCCAAAATAGAAACAAACAAACTAAATGTCTATTGAATTTTAATAAAATTAGTGATAATTTCAATGCACCTGGCTTTTTTCATATGCACATTACACTTCTAGTTACTGGCAATGTTCAGCTCAATACCACTGCAGATTCTGACAAATGGATAGAATCAATAATGCACTTTTCTAAATTAGATTCTGCTAGTATAAAGAAGCATCTTTACTTCACGCATTAATGTTTTGAGCCAGGGTGAATTTAAATATGATACCTATGTTTCAAAGAAGAACTTACTTAAATTGGTAATGAATTTTTCACTAATTCATGGTTCTTAAGTTGAAAGTCAGGGCAAGCGATAAATAAGTAAAGAAGGGGCAGATACTTTAAGTTGATTAGGTCTACCATTACACTGAAGTTAGCAGATCTAGTTTACTCCAACTGTTTTGTTGTAGTTTCTGTTCTCTAATTTTGACCATTGTGGTTACACGGGCAAATATATCTACTAAATTAATGAGTATATAAGCATAGCTGAGATTACAGTAATTAATACTGCAAATATGTGGCAACAGTATGAGCTGCTCAGTGTGAAGCCATGTAACAAGGGAAGATTGTTTCAAAACAAAGCTGATTTCACTTGCCTTGTCTCTGTCATTTTTTCATAGCTGGATGTAGGAATGTAGGCTGATCATAGAGGTCACGTATGATCTGTAGAAGTGCACGTGTGGCCATCGTCACTGTGGTGTATACGTCCCTAACAGAATCTTCAAGCTGGTATCTGGTGATGCAGCAGTCTTTGTGTCAAGAGTAGAGTAGGTTATAAAAGGGCTTTCTGGAGGGGAACGATTTTTGCTACGCTCACTTTACAGTCTGCTGCTTTCCACTTTTGTCTCGTGCTCTGACTTCATTGATCCTCACAGGCCTTGTCATTCACTGCAGTGGTGAGTGAGGTAGTTCATAAATCCACACACGACTGAAACAGAATGAGCAGCAGGCACAGGAATCAGTCAGGAGGAAGAAAGGACACACAGGGAACAGTGAATTGGTCACCTTTCAGAATCAAAGTTTGCACCTTATTTTTTATGGGTTTGAGCATGAATGCATGCATGCTGCTTTGAAGTAAAATAAAACCATTTCCTGTGATTTTAAGCAGTGCTTTGCAGACTGCTTTGTGTACTTGGGCATCTCTGCTAGTGTCACTTGCATGAAAATCCCAAAGTGAAGGCCAGTTTATGCGGATGTAAAACTGAGAAGCATTTTGTAGTGACTGCTCAGCCTCTCTGGCTTAGTTATCTTAACCTAAGGAGAATTGTTTCGGATTTATTTGCAACATCTTACTTCTAAAACATAGTTTGTACTGAAAGGATACTGTGCTTGAAATTAATTGGTCAAGCTGCAAGATGATTGAGAAATGGGTGAGGCAAGAGGACACACAGTGTCATGTACATGGTATGTTTTTTTTCACACCTCTGGTGGAAGTGAGAGCAAGGTGTGAGTAACAAACCACATGGTAAGATTTGACTACAACCTCTGGCACGAGGACAGCGATAGTATTCATAGTCATGGAATGGCCTGGGTTGAAAAGGACCACAGTGACCATCGAGTTCCAACCCTGCGCTATGTGCATGGTCACCAACCACCAGACCAGGCTGCCAGAGCCACATCCAGCCTGGCTTTTTTTTTGTTAGAAAACTAGTCACCATGATTTATCATATTGTGTTCTGAGTCCTTACGCCAGAATAGATGTGATGGTGCGTTAAAAATATGTAGAAATACAGCTGTCTAACTAGAAAAGGCAACAGTTAAGAAGATAGCTTTTACAAGAATTATCTCAAGAGGCTTCAACATCAGCAGTCTGCAAAACAGCTGAGTTTTAGCTGTAATAGTTCTTCATCGTTTCTGCCTCATTTTTATTGTAAGAGGATGGAAAAAGCTTCTTAACAAGACAAATGTAGGTTTTCTGTTGTAAAAGGGTTCTTTCTCAAACAATTAGTACTTGAAGGAAAACGATCTATGAAGGAACAGTATCATTTTCCCCATTGCTCCCTCCCCCCCATGTCTTTTCCTTTAAATATGATGGAACCTTAATCTGTGCTCTTTGGAGCAGAGGTAATGAAATTACAGAAAGGATGTGAAAAGTATCTGTGAAGGTAAACTAATACTTTCCATTGTGTAAACTACAGATATACTGCCTGAGGACACACAATATGAGAAAGTTAAAGGAAAGGAATCAATATGAGGAAAGATTTTATTTTTCATTTAGATTTTAGAGATGCATTTGGCAAAGAGTTACTTAAGAAATATACCCAGGTCCTTTTAATTCATTGCTGGTATTTTCAAGGCCTCTAACATGTCAAGTAGTTAATTCATCTTATGCAACCATAGTGTACTTAGTGAGCTCATGGCTGGCACTTGGAACAAGGAAGTCCTGGGTCTGATATTCACTGCTGATAGGGATATTTGCATCTGTGTGATCCTTGTTTGTTATTCAGGGCTGCCTCTAAGCTGTCAGTTTATAGCTGTTGCCATGACGCCTAGTTCTGATGGGGTCAGTTCTGAAGGGAGTGATGTAGCATTATAGAAATCAGAGCAATAGCATTTCTAACTTTTTGTTGTTGTTGTACTGAGCATTCCCTAATATTTACACGTTTAACAGATACATTCTTATGTATGTGCTTTGAGGAAGAGAGTGGGACGAATTGAATCCTGCTTTGTCTTGGTGATAAGCTGACCACTGAAAAACAATTGAAACAACAAAATCAACCATTTTTTCTGGAGCAACTCTCCATGCCGTGTTCACAGATTCAAGGACAGGGGTATTTCCAAGCTCTCAAGTCAGATACTCTTTTCAGTACCCACTGATGCATTTTATTTTTCACTGGCCTATTTTTTTCTCATCTGAGCAGTGAGTTCAGCCTCGTGTATGAAGCTCAGAGCACAGTGAGGTTGTTAATCTTTACCCTTTGAAGACTGTAGGAATGTTTCTTATTGTGAAGTTGTTCACTCTGTAAGCCATGCAGCAGAATTTTAATGTATTATTGACTGACTTAATGGTCTGTCATTTGGGACCATGACTCTGTGGTTTCTACTTTAGCTATCTTTTAAAACAACTTTAATCTTCGCCATTATCTCAGCCAGAAAGGTTGGAGTTATCTTGACATTTAGGAGTGCTAAAATCTCTGGTCTTCATGATTGTTCTAAGAAATTACAATTCTGAATTTGATTTCTGAGAACTCAGCTACCCACAAAAGATTGACAGACACAATTGTGCTGTTGGATGGCTGTTTGCCTTTTGGCAGACTACCATTGCTACCATGCTACCATGGAAGGGAGTCCTGGAGTGCAAACTGGAGGCTCAGGGGCACCTCATTAGGTAGTTAATGTATGTTGAGACCTACACTGCCATTAAGTTGCAGTCTCCTAATGGATCAGGTATGCTCTGAGGATGTGAATAATCCTTTTAGCTTTTTTATGCAAGTGTCTCAAAGTTGCAGCAGGTAAGGCTGCCAAAATGTGCTCTTACATTTCCAGGGTGGTTTGACTTGCCAAATGTACTTAGATGCAAGACAGGCCTTTTCAAACCAGGCCTTATACCCAAATGCCTCTCCATTTCTCTGTAATTGCATCTTGGAACAGGCTGCAAGGAGTCATCCAGTAGTGAGTCCACACATGACCAATCACCTGAAGAAGAAAGGAATGCTGCTTTCCAGGAACTAGATGTTCTTTGAAATGTTATTTATGTGCACAGCCACAACTCACAATTGTTTCTTATGCTGATCTTTTAACGAGAATCCTTAAAATTAAAATGGGCGGAAAATGGCGTGTTGCATGTAACGTGTAACTGACTCATGAAGAAGGACACGGGAAAACTTTCATGGCCATTACTGCAGCTAAGAAGTCTGTGATATGACCTCTTAGTATGAACAGGCAGATTTACAGTGTTTTCAAGGAATGGTGATTTTCCTGGAACTTAGCTAGAATTCTTCATTAGAATGTGTATCACAGAATCTAGACATTTGGATTCTACCAGGCTGTGTCCTCAAACACAATAGGCTTGTGCTATTGATTATGGTAAATGTAAAACATCAAAGTACCTTACAAGAACTGGGCTATGTACTACTAACACACAGCTGTCTCTGAAGTTAAATTCAACAACTTTTAATGATGTGCAGCAGCTTAAAAGAAGAGTTAAGATAACGATGTCCAATTGAAATCACAAAGGAAATTTGGAAACATAATGATCAGTATTTTGATTGGCATCTTTGACTTCAGACAGGATCTGTAGAACAGCCTTGGCCCAGTGCCCCTCGCAGTTCAGATCACGTTCATGGGTTCTATTCCCAGTCAGTTGAATTGATTTGTAGCTATTTTATAGAAATAACTGCAAATTCATCTTAGTTTTTATACAGCTGTGGGAAATACGTTGTTTTGTTACTATGGAAAGATCTTGTTTTGTTGCTGTAAAAGCTTTCTTTTTTTTTTTATACTTCAGAGCAGTAAAGCAACTTCTCTGTGCTTGCTGGCTCTTGTGTTTATGGTTTTAGGATACTGCCTTTTGAGAGTGGCATTGTTACCAACTGCATTGGTAAGGTGCTGGAATAGGATCTTAGAATCATCTCTGAAGAGATGAAGTTTAGTTTAAAATTCTAGAATTCAGATTCATTTCAACCAGAGGTTGGATATTTTTTATAGCAGTGAAAATGAAAGACCTTTCTACAGGATGCTACTAGGGATGTGATTCTACATCCTTAATAAACAGGCTTGTTTGTTGGATGGTTCATTGGTGGTTCTGCATTAAGCAGATAGGTAGCTATGCTTACTTCTTACAATGCTTTCATAAACGGTAATCATTCCTCCAGCCTTGGGTCAGGTGCTGGCAGAGGTATAAAGTCTCCATTTGTTTCATTGACTTTCTCCTTAGTTTCTTTGGCTATCATCCAGTCTGCATCTACTAGCTTCATAATGCAGGACCAGTAATTCTCTTGACTTTATTAGTATGACAGCTTGTCAGGAAGCAATCTTATGCAAATGGTGTTCACACTCTTAGTACCTTTATTTCTAACATTTATAAAGCAGGTCTACTCTCAAGAGAATTGAGGTCAACACCAGTATAGAGAAAATGAGTAACAATGGAGCAGAGAAAATCTAGGCAAGAAGCAGTACTGTGCAGCAGCATGCTTTACTGACACTTTGTGCCATGTAAGCAAATGTAAGCTTTTGGATGCATTTTGGAAGAAAAAAGTTATCTGCAAGAAGAGATCTTCAAACAACTAATGACTATTTGTTTGGCAAGGTTTATGCACATTTGCTGATATTCCAAATAGGTGTTACTGTTTTTTTTATTTGTTTTAAGTAATAAAAGGTTTGTATTTACAGGAGAATCCCTTTAAGGAAAGAATTGTGGAATCTTTCTCGGAAGATGGAGAGGGGAGCCTCAGCTTCAATGATTTTGTGGACATGTTCTCTGTGCTCAGTGAAATGGCTCCCAGAGAGCTCAAAGCTATCTATGCCTTTAAGATCTATGGTAATGTACTGAGATAGTTTTGTATGTCTTTGCTGAAAATAAATGTGAGAGTTGCCAGTGATCTTTTCTTTGCTTCTTTTACTCTTCAGATTTTAACACAGATAACTTCATTTGTAAAGCAGACCTGGAACAAACCCTCAATAAGCTGACCCGAGAAGAGCTAACAGCAGAAGAAATCACTCTGGTTTGTGAGAAAGTGATAGAAGAAGCTGACATGGATGGTGATGGCAAATTAGGATTTGCAGATTTTGAAAACATGATTTCCAAAGCACCGGACTTTCTCAGGTATGGAGACAAGGATTGTCACTTTGCCTATTTTCAGGTATTCTTTCTGGCTGTTGGCTGTGTAGCGTAGTGTAAGAAATATCAGGCATAAGAGAACTGAGTTTTGCTGAGGAGCCTGGAGGATGTCTTCTTACCCTAACTCAATTTAATTCTCCAGAGCCTATTCCAGTTCTGTCCTAACTTAAGACTAAGAGCAAAATGACTCAGTTATCCCCTCCTTTTTTTATGTCTGTATCTGTGTGAATTTTTCAGGAATATATTTTCATCTTCTGGAAGCTCAAACACATACAGTTTTCAAACAGGGGTCCCTGTTGCATAGGAACCCATCCAGTGTGCCACGATTTTTATGTATTGATTTTTAAACAAAATTACAGATGTCATGGCTGCTTCTGGAGAGGATTGCCAAAGCTCACAGTCAAATGGACTTATTTCCATAGGAAATAAGACTGAATGTTAGAATTGAGTTGAAGTAGATTAAAATTTGGATTGATAATCTTGATGCTAATAGTGATTAAGAACTTTGACATGTCCTGAAAAATACAGGAGAGTTTTTTTTCTACAATAAATTACATTTCTAAGGAAAAACATTGTGAGGCAATGATTCTGCTGTAAAGCATGAGGTCCCTGTGGGTCCCAGGAAACATCAGCATCTGAGGATGATATTCTGGAAAGTCAATATGAATGTCTTCTATACATTAGAAATATATCAGGCACTCCTTGACTAATCAAACTTACCAACAGGCACTCTGTTGGAACAAGATATATGTCATCATTATGGTGAGATTGGACTGAGTATATGTAATATTTTGTTAGCACGTATTTATAGCAAAAAAGCCCCAAACATTTTCTGCAGATTGGTCTTCTGAATAGAAGCTGCTGGGATCAGGTAGGATTTCATTTATTCAACGAAAAGGCTGTGCTGTACCTATAGAGCTGGTAGATAGCACAGATCAAATGTGAAGAATAGAAGGCAGATGTGAAGAGTCAGCAGAAGCTGTAGTTTCAGAGGTTTCCTGTGCCATGACTGATTTTACTGCTGTGTTGTAGAAGCAGTTTGCAAGCTATGATGTGAAAAGATATGAAAACCTTTTTTCATCTTGGTAAAATTGTCCCTTTTGAAAGTCTTTAGCAGATGAATGGGAGAACTGCCAACCTGTCCATGTCCAGAGACAGCTGTGATTTCATCTGTTTTTGCATATCTCCTTTTTTTGTGCCTAGCTGGATACATTCCAAACTTTAATTTCAAGGGAATGGGAGTACTTATTGATTAATACTTTCAGTAGCTCATCAGCTCTGAAAATTAGACACTTTGCATTAAAGCAATGGTCGCTTTTAAGAGCTGGTTGCTAATGAGCTATGGGAGATGTTGGATAACTATAGTACTCAGAGACTTTGTTTTGAAGCTGTAGGCAATCAGCATTTCTGAATACTGTATCCTAGAATACCACATTGGTGCCTACTATGTGATTCTGCAGAAAATGTTAAGTAATCTTGCAGATCTCAGGTTGTTTCTGTTGGCAGTAAAGAAATTCTTTATTGTCTATTCTTTACCTTTTTTCCGTACAAAGAGCCACTTCTTCACATTGTAAGAGTATGAAGCTTAGGATGCAAGGTAGAAACCTGTGGCTTTGCCACTGCTTCAACCTGTGTTCTCTGCAAAACCATTTGTCATACAACACATGTCATACAACTTTACATCATCTTACATCTTCTTTATTTTGCTAAATGAGTCTCGTGCTTGCCTGACTTTTGGCAAACATGGGAAACTTTTATAATATGTTCTATTCAAATGTAAAATCCCATTACTGAGGAAGAATATCTTCTTTGCCTTATTGATAGGAATCTTCAAAGGTTTTCCTTTGCATACTCCATTTTTGGAGCACTTATTTTATTTTTTCTGAGCTGCAGTACAGTTATATGTACTTAATGCATGCAGCAGGCATTAATTTTGACACCATGATCCAGGCTTGTACTTGATAGGAGCTCAAGTTCACCCATTGTAGGTTGACTGATTTTTTTCCTCATGTCACCGCTTCCTTTGTTTATGATGCTGTTCAGGTTTAATCCCTTACAGACAACCTTTGCAAGGTTTGTGCTGTTGTCAGGCAAATGAAAATGCTCTTGTTTGTTGCTTGATTTGTGCTGCTGATGTTGACTTTTTGTAGAAGCTAGAAGAAGACACTGCTCATTGTTGACCAAGGTAGATATATATGCATTTTTGACTGTTATTCTGGAAGCTTGAATAAGTTATAACTAGTTCAGAAAATTTGATTTCAGTAGGTTTCAAAATTGTTATCATTTAGAAGCTGCTTGTAGTGCAATGGAAGCATTTGGACTGGCATTAGCGAAGTGTTCTGTTCTACAAGACTGGTTACATTTTCCCCAGGAAATTGGTTTATAAATCATCATGGAAGTTTAAGCTTATTCGAAGGCCTGAGGGTGAAACGTACTATAACAATCTGAAATGGAGCTTGAGAAGAATATGGCATTAGTAACACCTGGGAGCTGACAAACCTGAGCAGTGAGACAACATATGAAACAAAAAGATGTCATTGTAAATATGCTATTCTGAACTATGTGGGCCTTTACTCCTGTAACAGCTGATATCCTGATTCTTGTCCTATCCAAAGCTGAAGGGGTAGCAACTATGTCTTAGATTCTGTGCATTCTGTAAGACCTTTTCTAAAGTGCAGATGATCTAGTTCCTAAAGACTAAAATCAGAGCTAGTGACAAATTGGCAGGAGATTATTAGTGAGAAAACAGTAGCAAGAAATCACTTTTATCAGTGTTTTCTTATTAGTAAAATCCGTAATTTTCAAAGTTCAGAATGATACCCAGAAATACAAAAATAGTCTTGGACTTAGCAAGGGAAACATCACCTTTATCTGCCTAGTTTGATCTGCTTAGGAACCCAAATGCTGTGCAACGGCCTAAGTGCAATTGGGAAACATTTTGCTTTGCTGTATATCCAATAAATAAGTCAATTGACACTTGATTTAATCCAGTGCTCTGCTTGGCCCTCTAATCAAATAATTTCAGAAGATGGAGGTTTCTCTTCACGTATGTCAATCTTCCTGAGAGCCTGAGAGAAGGCTTGCTGTGCTGGCAAGTAGTTAACAGAAATGCCTTGTCTAACTGTGGATTTTAACTGTCCTGGAGAAGGAGACAATGTGCAATGTAAATGATAAGTCTATATTCTGCAGTTGGCATATGAATCAGAAAATAAGCAGTCGTTCTTGTTTTATTCTTTATTCTATTACAGAAAGATCTGAGGTTTCCAGCCCTAGTTTCTAGCTTTAGCTCATTTCTAAAAACTGAGCACATTTGCAGCTCTGAGATCTGCACCACAAATTTTTGTCTACGTCTTTCCTGCACTAAATCTGATCTTTTCTGAGGATGTTATCAGTATGTCCTTGTACATAATCTTGTTGTAGAATAAACTCTTTTATATAAAAGAAATATTATCAGTACCTCTGAATTTCCGTGGTTACTCTCTTACACACAGAGAGAGGGTTATTCTAAACAGCATTCTTTCTTTCTGACAGGCTAATTGAACTTTACGTGATTCAAGGGAGCATTCTGACTTACCTAAGCTTGCCATCTCAGTCTGCAAAGTCCTTTTAATTACAGAATCTAATTCACAGAACAATACTTTGCAAATAAGGACAGCACGTTTGAGAAATGCTTGCAGCTCAACTGCAGTAAAACATAGACACAGTCTGTAAAATGGCGTCGTGAAGAGCTGAATTACTGCTGTTTGGAGAAATTGTGGAGATGATACTGCTGGTATGATAATGCTGAAAGACCAAAAAGTTACCTTAGTTTTGTTTTTCGAGTGGTATCACCATCCTGTATCCTCATCACTACTGCAGATTTAGCAGCTGCTTGGTTCAACCTTCTGCTTACTGAATGTGAAGTCAACACTTTGCCCTGTCAGATTCTGATTTCCTGTGTTAGATACTAAGTGGCCTTTGTTAATGCTGTGATAGGTTGCACCAGAGGCTTGATCAGTAGCAGTTTTCTGGAAGTTTCCTCAAGTAAATATTGTACTATTGTATGTCAGAAGAAAAGTGAGAATGTTCCCATCACAACAAAATGGTAGTAATTTGGGGGATAAATATGAAGTCTCTTCACTGTTAAAGTCGAGTAGCTGAGATGGCAGGCCTGCAGATTGACTTTTGGTCATTGTCAAGAGCTCAACCTCTGTATGAATATCAGCATTCCTTGCTTTTGGAGTAGCTTCCATAGGTAATTTCTTACATTAAGTAAAGAACTGTCCACAAAAATAATTTTGCAGATCAAATGGTAGAGCTGCATTTCAAAAGGAAAGGTGTAGTTTTATTATCAGCCCATTAATACCTTTATCAACAACTTAGGACTGAAAATTAAAAAATATCTCCCTGTCCAAATGATGGACTTTGGATAAAGCAAGGGCTGGAAGCTATTAGATCTGCTTTCAAAATGAGAAATCCTTTAAATGCTGTCACTCCTCATCTTATCATAATTCTAATACCAATTCATTTTTTATGCTTGATCTTCCTAATTGTTAGATATCCTGTAAAAAGGATGATGGTGCTTTTGGGAGTAAAATTTAGTCGGTTTAGGAATGCATTTTATCTTGAAATACTTCAGTGTCAATGGAAATGCACTTCAGGTTTTTTTGCTTTCTCAAATGTCCTTACTAGGAGAGAGAACAAGAGGGCAGAGATCCTGAATCTTTACAGAACACCTTTCTGTGTGTGTTCTGAGGAGAATGTTGCACGTAGTGATAAATATTTATATATCTCTTAATATTTTTGCTTCCTTTGCAGTACTTTCCACATAAGAATCTGAAGAACTGTGTGTGAGCCAGTGTTGTCAGAATGATTTCAGTCCAGCCTTTCTGAATCTCAGGCGCTCTGGGGGCTTCTGTCCTCTCCTTGTGGCTTCTTAGAACTCAAAAAATACTGAAATGATTCTGGTCTGCATAGAGAGAGAAGCTTCATTTCATCCGCAGGATGTTTGGAACAGTCACGTTTTTATCTTCACTGCTGGCGTTCTGGCAAAGATGGCTGATTGCTGGGTTGTGGCTACTCTTTTTCTTTTTTCTTTTTTTTTAACAGACAGAATCACAATGTTACTAAAGGTATTTCCACAATTTTTTTGTATTTATGGATATTTAATACTGCTCTTACAAGCAAAAAAAAAAAAAAAGAAAGAAAAACGCGATTAGCTTGGGTGACTTCTCCAAGAAAAAAAAAGCATGGGCCTTAAATAATGAGATGCCTCTATCACTGTGTTGTACAGCTGGGGATCTTGCATGGAAATTATCTTATGTGAAAGGACAGCAGTCAAGATCCAATTCCCAGTGTTGAAGACAACCACATCCCGGGTTTGCCCTTCAGTCACTGAAATGGCAGTTGCTGGGTTTGGTGCTTACCTTCAACTAATATTTTATGGATTGTCACGTCCTTATGAAACTTGAAATGTTTGCATTTTGGATATGATTACTGCATATGTGATTCGTTTCTTCCCAAGAGAAACTTTGAGACTGTGTCCTTGTTCTCAGAGGGAGTCTTGCATTGTACTCATTCTGTGGTCTGATAACGTTGAATAGAAGAATACGATCATCTATAATCCATGAAGAAATTAAAGAAGCACAGCACTATTACTGAGGACATAAAAAGACATTTTCTATCTAAACCAGCTATGCAATCTTTCCCATAAAGTGCATGAAAGCAGCTCAGTATTTCTCTTTCCTCTCCAGCTGGAAATCAGCTATATTTGTTCTTTTTTTTTTTTAATTCCAGTACTGTTTAGGTACTGGGGCCTGAAGACAATCACACATGTATTACTGTTCTAACAGTCAATAGAAGGGCTCTGTCACTTACATGGCTTCTGTATCAAAGTCATAACTATTAAAACTTTTGACGCATTTTGTTGTGCTCTGAGAATTTGTGGGCTAAGCACATTCACTTCCATTCTAGTCATCATTCCAATAACTGTAAACCTTGGTCTTTCAAGGCTGAAATATGTTATGCTCACTGAAATAATTGATAAAGTATAGAAATCCATCATTTTGCCATTTCTGTAGGCAAGGCAGTGCTCTCCACCTTGGAACCTGTAATGGGTGGTAAGCTTGAAGCCTGATTTGCAAGTACGGATGCACAGTATGCATCAAGAAACATTTATGGAACAGTGGGGTTGGATGTTAAAAGCCTCAGTGGAAATTTTGAGTATTTGAGATATAAAAGACCAATTTAACCTAAACATAATGAAGATGAAGCTTCTATAACTGTAATAATATTTATTTTGGACTTTTCCTAGAGTGATCATGCTTTTAGTCAGTGCTGTTTATAGTATTTTACTACTTCCTCCTCCTGGTAACTGCTTAGATAAAGGTCGTGGAGCCTGAAGTTCCTTTGATTTACGTATGCAAGTTAAAAGGTAACGTAAATCAGTCCTGATACTCAGTTCTGATTGAGTAAGAAGGGATTCAAGCCTCAATCTTCTTTGTTTCAAGTAGATTAAATTAGGTAATTAGTTGATTCAAGCAGTTGGCAAGGTACGGGCTTTGAGAAATTACGTTAAAATTGCCTGTTCATCAAAACATCAGCTGATAACTTCCTATTTCTTTCAAGACAAGTTTAAATCTTTGCAAGATGTTGTTTTTCTGTCCCTACTAATCTATATCATAAAATGACAGGTTGCAAGATTTGGGGTTGGGTTATTAAAAGGATCTTTATTGATTTCAAAGGCCAGTTTCCTTTGGCATCAGTGTTCTTTTTCTATATTTTAAAATTTACAGTAGCCAAAGTTCTTTCTTCCTTTCCTGACGCTGTGTCATTCCACAATTAATTAATTCCCTATCTCCACTTAAGGAACACCTCTGTTGCTTTGGAATGTACTCTGTGTATTTCTTAGGTCCTCCCTGACCTCAGTGTCACGTAATAACAGCTGAAGAAATGCTTGGTCTTGCAGTCAGATGCTTAACTTGAGCATCCATCCATGTGAACAGAGGCACCATGAGCAAAACAAACGCGAATACTGTGATGGACACTATCCACGGGTGAGGAGGAGTGCTGCAGAACACGGAAGGTACGAAGTCCTAAATGTCCTTTATCTCTAGTTTGTGAAGTCTGAGTTGGACTATAAAAGTGAAAGAACACATTTCACGTGGCAAAAAAGCTCTTAGAAGTGACTGGGTATTTCCATTTGTGCTTTCAAAAATGGACAAAGAGCAATTATCCAAAGCCCCTGTGAAACCAGGCAGTGTGAGTGTTATCTCTAGCTGATACACACACAAAGTGTTTTATGGGCAAAAGGGATCTGGTGAAAGTGAGTAAATCAGCATCTAAAAGCAAGTCACTTAGTAACAGGCTTTCATGTAACCTTGTTTTAAAGGAATGCCGTCAGATGGGATTCACAATGACAGCCTGCAGGTCGCAGTCTGATCTCTGTTGCTTCCACACTTACTTCCAACAACTTGATTGACTTCAGGGGAACTGATCGCACGTCTGTAAGTGGATCTGCGTTGAGGGAAGCAGTAGCTCTTCTGCTGCAGTTCCTTGCCCTCTCTCATACCCTTCAATGTAACCTTACATGGTGGCGGTTACCGCGTGCCGGTCTTTGGCAATGGTAACAGCCGCGTCGGGTCTCCCTGCCGCGTCCGCCCTGGCCGTGTGCGTTTGCTCGCACTGCGGCTGCACTTGTGCCGCACCACCGCCAGGCGGCGCCCTCGCAGCGCAGCCGGGTTTCACATCCGTCCGTCCCGTATTCTCCGGACTGACGGTGGGTACAGCATGTCTGAATATTGAAATGGCCTTTAAATATTGAGCAGGTATGCACTTAGCAGAAATAGGAAAAAAATATGAAAAAAGATCATTTTCCTTTGAGAGCAGCCCCGCAGAGAAGGACCTGGGGGTCTTGATGGATGAAAAACTTAACATGAGCCAGCAGTGTGACCTTGCGACTCAGAAAGCGACTGGTATCCTGGGCTCTGTCAGAAGAGGGGTGGCCAGCAGGGACAGGGAGGTGATTGTCCCCCTCTACTCTGCTCTCGTGAGGCCCAATCTGGGGTACTGCAACCAGGTCTTGAGCCCCCAGTACAAGAAAGATGGAGCTGTTGGAGACGATCCAGAGGAGAGCCACAGAGATGATCAGGGGACTGGAGCACCTCCCCTATGAAGACATGCTGAGGAGCTGGCCTTGTTCAGCCTGGAGAAAAGAAGGCTGCGGGGGACTTCATTGCAGCCTTTCAGTACCTAAAGGGAGCCTACAAACAGGAGGGGAATCAACTCTTTGAAAGGGTTGATAACTGCAGGACAAGGGGAAAAGGTTTTAAGTTGAAGGAGGGAAGATTTAGGTTGGATGTCAGGGGGAAGCTCTTTACTATGAGAGTGGTGAGGTGCTGGAACGGCTGCCCAGAGAGGCTGTGATGCCCCGTCCA